ACGTTCACCACAGATGAATAAAACCTCTCAGTAAAAAACGATTCCATGTGCAAAAAAGCCAATTTCTTTGACGAATCGTGTTTGCATGGATCTGAGATGAGATGAGCTATTTAATAGCCAGGTTCATGGACGGGAGGATATGAGGGAACTCTTTATGTTGTGTTTAATGATACCAAATCACAGATACCAGCAGAAGGAGAGACATTAATTCTAAATTAGGTCCATCGTCCCAAATGTTTAGTCCCCGAGAAGGAACCAAACAAATGAATCACGTTTGCTCAAATGAAGAGTCGGTGAGTGCTGCGAGCTTAGACTCGTTGTCAGCAGACGCTTGCTCAGATGCAAAGCAGCTGCGTGTGTTGCTCTGGAAAGTCAAATCATTAGTCAAACCAAAACCATTTCAGCCGTCAGCAGCCTGAAACATATCCGTCGGCAACAAGGGCCTGAAAGAAGACGTCAAGAGGATTCACTAATGGAAGGCTGACGTGACAGGAGAACATGTGGAGGAGGGTCAGTCTGGCCCGTGACATAAAGTCAAACAAAAGGAGGTCCCTGTACAATCCCGGGACATTAAAATAACACACTGGAAACCAATCGAAACCATATCAGAGTATTGATCTTCAGGAATCATTATGCGTGACTGCCTACACACTCTTGACGTGTACGCCACAAAGTTACTCTGTAACTTCTCCCGTCTGCGCTCGGTCTAACAGGAAAAGCTTTTGGTGATTTCACGACAAAAGAATCTGGAAATAGGTTTCATATCAGTTACTTATTCTGCCATTACTGCTGCGGTCCATGAACAGATTGATTCCAGAAGAAAACATGGACTGCTTGGAAGAAAAAGAATTTTCAAAATACTCCAGACAAATGTTTTGATGAGCCGACAACCTTCAGTCTGTGGCTGACAGAAAGTTAGTGCTCGTACAAGAAGTTTCTTTTGTTTTTGTAAGTATGACGCACACATTTAAAGTCACTTCTGAAGGAAATAAATGCCACTGATTTGTATTATACGTAGGTAACGGGAACATCTTAAGCTTTGGACCAAAGATGCATTTTTTAAGTCTCACTGGGGTCTAGGAACTAGTGATGGGTACTGTACTACTGTTTTCTGATACTGTATAGACTAAAGTACATGTCCCTTCATGGAATGGCAGCTGATGAAAAATCTTATCATTAAATCCAGGTGATGTCTGGTGACTGCAGAAACATCTCAGACTAAACATTAACACTGGACGTCGACGTTGACCTCTTTAAATAATCACTGTGGTCTCACATCACCAGTCATCCGGCCCGTTCATTAGTGTGGTTCAAATGACACCGTTACTCCATTAACATACTACTACTCTACTGTACACAACACACACAGAGTCACTGCTCTGTTTCTGAGATCAACTGGGCTCTAAAATAACCGAATACCTCAAGAAACACAAGTTATGCAAGAGTGACAGCAAAATATGAAATATTACTAATGCCACAAATAGTGAAATGTGAAATAAATTTGTTTGTATTTGATAAAAAGTGTTTCCTCCTGATGGCAAAACAATAGGTGCCTAGTGCCACCCTTACTGTCGAGGTTTGGGTCAACAAACTGGAACATGTAGCAGCTGGTGGAGACCACAGCATGAGCTAAGAGAAGGTGATCTGATGCTGAGCTCACAGCTTATCGACACAAGAGAAGAAAAACACTTTGAAGGAAAAGCTCAAGTGCACCAAATGTAATTTCACTCCTTCTTTTGAGTATCCGCTCCTCATGAACTTCATTTATAAACAAGTGTGGGAAAACATCACGGACACAGATGTCACAAAAAAGATCAGCGAGTTCATTTACTGACTGCTTACTCGGCAGGAAAAGGAAACATTTAGACACACAAACACGGATCAAAAGGGTGAAGACATCGATGCTCGGGGGAACCAAAGACCTGCATGTTTGACGAGCCTCAGCAGCCTCTCACTGCTGCTGTGACTTTTCTCATGATTCTTTTATCATCCTGACTCTTAGCCCAGAGTTGGCCTGTGGAGATGCGGGCTCTGCTCAGACAGGTCGGGCAACATACTGCTGTCACGACACCGGCTCCGTGAAGCGCTCTTCAAAACACCAACACAATGACACAACAAAAAGAGAAAGCGTTTACACAGAACTCTCTGTCGTGCTCTGCTCAAATGGGAAACCCTGTGTTTGACACTAAGTTATAGTCGGAGGAAGAGAGAGGATGAAATGTACAGAGAGCGACCTGAGTATCTGTGAGGAATGTGTTTGAGAAACCGTCTTCCTGCACATTCACGGTGAATCAAGAGCACGTAAGGTGAACCCTCTCCAGCTGCGGTTGGCTTTAATTTGCCTGGGGGGGGCAACTATTTCACTTAAGCCGACTCCTTTGTTCCTGTCAAAGTCATGCTTTGCATAACATGAAGCGCGCCATGTTTGCAGCAACGAGACACGAGAGAGAACGCGGCTGAATGTCGGCCTTCTTTTTGTCTTGAGCACAACAGAAGCGACACAAACGGTGTTGTTGCAGAGACGCAGCATCGCATGATGTTTTCATGTTAAAATGTGTCCTTGTAAGTTGTCAAATAACTATCAAGAGGACTGTCACGCAAACAAGACTCCAATTTGTCTCATGATGCTCGAGTGAATGATTGACGACTTAAACGCTGTGATCAGGTTTTCAGCTGCGTTACATCGTGATTCATGGCATCCCACAATCCAGTTCGTTTAGGCTATAAAATACTTCTGTGTTTATGACATGTCATTTCGGGCGACATCCATCTGCAGCAAGGTAGGCGGAGAAGCTACACGGTGTTTTTAACATCACACAAGAGACACAAGAGAATAAAACCTGGAGAAAAGAATTCATTGTGCTGAGAGAATCTGCAACACTTGTCGGCATAGAAAGAAGAAAGACAAGACATTACAAATACTCCTGTCAAAGTAAAATGTAATGACTGAGTAACACTGCAATGCAATGAGGTTCGACTGCTGCAAGGACATGTTGGTTCGATTGTAATGATCACAGCTGTCCAGTTGACAATGCCAATAAAGTAGGTTCAAAACAGCCCCAGCATGTGACCGTTTCAATCTAACCAGACGGCAACCTCCAGATCTGGAAAGTGAAGCCAAAGCTTCATGTGTTAAAGCTGCATTCTCTCTAGTGTCCACCAGGGGGCGACTCCTCTGGTTGTATAGAAGTCTATGAGGAAATGACTCTACTTCTCTCTTGATTTATTACCTCAGTAAACATTGTAAACATGAGTTTATGGTCTCAATCTCTAGTTTCAAGTCTTCTTCAATACAGCATGATGTTCATTTAGTACATTATGGTCCATTTAGAGTCAAATAGACCATAAAGCAAGGGATGCTTTAGGGCGGGGCTACAAAGTGATTGACAGGTTGCTACCAGAGACGTATACGTCGTCTCTACGTCACTCCTCCTCAGTCAAGATATGGTCACTTCCTGTTCATTGGTTGCGGAAAAAACAACATGGCGACGGCCAAATCGCCGAACTAGAGGCTTCAAAACATCAGTCCAAGAACCAATGGGTGACGTCATGATAAGTACGTCCACTTCTTATCTCCAGTCTATGATTCTAAGTTTGCACTATAAAAACTATCTACACCATGAGCCCGGCAACACATGAAGCTTTCTTTGGATCACATGAAACAGACTGCATCACATCCACATGTATCAGCACTGAGAAAAAGCACCAAGAGTGACCAAAGCAAACATCTTCAAGCTCTCAAACTGTTGGTGGTCCTGTGTGAGGAGCAGAGGGCCGTGAGCCTCGGGTCTCAGGGTCTGTTTACCAAACACCAGCGCCGTACCGAGGCTTCTGGTTTCTGTCTGTTGTGAGCACGCAAACATTCACAGCCATTTAACTGTTAACAGCCGTCACGGCTCTGCTGCGATTAGCCACATATCTGGCTTCAGAGCATTCACCGAGTATCCTCTGCAGATCTAGAGTAATGCGATGGTGGATGGAGAAGACACCATTTTGCAGAATTGTCTAAAATTCAACCTGCTCTGCATCATGTGATCACATCCGATGACCGCTCATCTTCTGCAGGCAGGACGTCACCATCACTTGAGGAAACAGCATGTGTCCACTTTTGAATGACTTCTCTGTTTGCTGCTGCTTTTTATTAAAGAAATAATTATTCATCTCTCTGTGCTGTCACTTATATTCTTGCATTTCACACTTATATTCTATTTGAACTCGTTTTGATGTTGTATTCTCTTGGCTCTTTAGTGATTTTAACTGTAAGTAAATGTCCTTTTATGATGCGTTTCTTTTGCACTTTGTCTCGATGCTTCTGATGTTTCATGTAAACATCGGTGTTGCTGAGATGTGCTGTATAAATACACATAATAAACACCTCTGTAAACAAGCTTAGCGTGTGTAGTAACCACAATAAGAAGAACCAGCAGTGTAATAACCACACAACTAATGTAAAGCAGGTGTAACACGAACAACAATCAGCCTGTTTCCCCATAAAGATGTTGTCTGCAACTGTCGGCCTGATTACACAGAATATTTAGAATAAATGCATTCAATGCGAGTGCTTTATGTGTATTGATTTCATATAAGTCTTAACAACTGAATAATAGCATCTTTATACGACTAGAATAAATGTAACTAGCATCAGAGGAATACAAATAAAGTTTGATTTGAATGCTTTGTATGGCAGAGCTGCCACTAGTTGCTCTACAGCTTCCAGGTGAACTTTACCTGCGTTCTCAGGTGTCTGTGGAGGACTTTAACCCGCCTACCTGATACAGGTGAGCTGCGTCCTTTCTCAGGTAAACGCAGCCTGATAACCAACACGCAGCTCAGTGGTAATTAACTGCTCATTAGAAGCTTTGTGTTTCATCAAAAGGACCTTTTATTGTGACTGAAGCAGCAGCTGCAGCAGCACCGCCTGTTCTAACATGTCAGCGGAGGTAACGTTATGGAAACAGCCAATAAAATGCCATCCTCAGCGGGTCGGCGGTGACTCTCACCCCAGGTTTGACGTCCTCAAACACGGACGCCTCCTCGGCGCCGTCTGCTCCGGGCATCCTCACGGGCTTCAGCTGCGTGAAAACCGCCCTCTCGTCTGTCGTGTGCGGCGGATTCATGGCCAGTCCTACCCTCGCTGCCATCAGACCGGTTTCTTATCTTCTTGTGAGTTTTGGTTATAAACACATAGAGATTTATTGCGGGTAAATGCGCCTTTAATTCAGCTGAAAGCTACGCAGTTATTCCACAGCCCTCCCCTCTCTTTTGGGCCACAGGTAGGTTTTACCTGAGCTCAAGTATGGACCCTGCAGCGAAGCGAGCCAATGAGAGCAGAGGATGAGTCTCCTGGTCCAATCAGCTGCGTGGAGGGAGGCGGGACTCACCTGAGAGACTCTGAGGAAGAAGGAAAACCAACTGGAGGGCATCAGGCACTGTTGTCTCCTCAACTACACACACACACACACACGCACGCACGCACGCACGCACACACACGATCGTGCAGCGACAAATACAATCTTGATCTCTGCAGTCATACTGATCTCAATTTATTTTTTATAAATTCTCCTCTGATGTGATGAAAGCCATAAAACCAAAATGAGCTGCTTATGATTTGTCTTTTTTCATGTATAAATTACTGCCTTTCATTTTTGTTCTTGTCATCTTTCTTAAATTTGTGATTTGTGCAACACCGCGTATTCCTGTCACACAAAAATAAATACATGACTCATGCTGAAGTTCTCCTGAGGCCATGCACACATTAAAAAAACGTTTTTTATCAAATCTTATTGTGTATAATTAGCAGGAAAGTTGTATTTCTATCTTCATGACCAGTTTTCCAAATCTGTTGTACGTGATCCTAGGGGACGAAGTTGGACAATCACGCGTGCACACAAACACACAGGAAGTAATAAATAGTTTCCAGGACTGTGCATTTCATTGCATGTTGCAGCAGGTTCAGCGAGTGATGAAGCTTTTAGTCGTGGTAATAACAGCAGCACACACTGTTTAATAGAAACATACAGATAGAAACTGTATTTTACAAGAACAGTATTCTGGGAATCTTCTTTTCTGTAAAGACGTTACACCGAGGGAGCGGGAGTTTCAGAATATGACTAACTAGCTAATGCATTCATGTGCTTCGACCTTTCATTGTCTCCCAAACAATACACGTGTTTATTTATCTTCAACACACAGGAATGAATTCTTCAGACATCATTTCTATGTTTTGCTTTGATAAAAGACAACACGCCCTGCGGTGTGAAACAGAAATAGACCATCTGCTCAAATACATCTTGAGTTTAACCACATGCACTACAGCTGAGAGTCCTCGCGGCGATGGCGGCGTTTTAACCAGCCGCGAGCAACAGATACAGCGGTGACGCAACACACCTTCTTTTGGCGCTTGCTCAAGCTGATCCTGCTCTCTTCATCTTCAACACGTAGATACATTGATGAGGACACACATGTGTGAACTCAGTATGCCCGTCTGGAATTAATCTGACAAACTGTATTTTGAAGCAAGTTAGGACATGGTTTTATAGGTCACAGAGACACTCAGTGGTGAATTATGAGCAAATGGATCCTTTGGTCACAGACATGCAAAAGGCCGCACAACCTCTCCTACACAGCAGCAACACTTTTATAGTTGCTTTGTGTCTCTTTGTAGTCATTTGTGTCTCTTTGTAGTAATTTGTGTCTCTTTGAGGTTGTTCTGTGTCTCTTTGTAGTTAMTTTGTGTCTCTTTGAGGTTGTTCTGTGTCTCTTTGTAGTTACTTTGTGTAGTTCTTTGAGGTTGTTTTGTCCCTTTTCATAGCTGTGAGTCTCCTTGAGGTGTCTTTGTTTCTCTTTGCAGCTGTTTGTAGTTGTTTTTGTGTCTCTTTGAGATTGTTTTGCCCATTTCCATAGTCGTTATGAGTCTCTGTTTGTGTTGCTTTGTAGTCTTTTTGTGTCTCTTGGCAGTTGTTTTATGTTTCTTTGTGGCCACTTTGAGTCTCTCCCTGGTTGGTTTGTGACTCTTTGAATGACTTTATGTCGGTGAAGGCCAGGGGAGCCCTGTGCACGGGAGGCCCGTTCATCAATCCATTCATGCAAACTCCTACTTTTTTCCTCTGGTACATCGCCCCTGATTGCTTACAAAGTAGTTTGCGTTGTTGTGTTGTTTATTTAAGTGTTTATTATTGAGCTATTAAACAGTTGGTTTATTTATTTTTTCTCCCCTGTCATCATAGAATAAAATAACTACAAAGACCAGGAGCATACATGATACAGGTCTGTTTGTCTTGCTAACTGTTGTGTCAGCACATCGTGTCCAAAGTTCCTCCACATAACGGGGAACATTTGTCTGACATGTGGTGATGCACTTGTCAAACCTAATTGGGACATTCTTTTACCACATGAGCAAAAACATACCAATAGGGCGTTATCGTCTGATCATGTCAGTTTACTGCTGTCAAACCCTGCGTGTGATTATAACCGTGAGAAAATTCTGTACCGACGTGGAATCTGTTGATACTGAATATGAAAACATTTTCATGAGCTGGTCTAGTGTGTCTCACTGGTTGGCCTGCATATTTGCAGAGTATAATTATACCACAGTGTAACATACACGCTATGATAAAAGAGCTGGTACTGTGCAGCTTGAACAACAGGCAATGGAAGACCAATTGCACAATAAGACAGCAGGAGGTTCAGCTCAGCAGAGGGATCCAATCTGCTATCTTAGCGTTAGGCCGGTGTTTTTCTTTATTTTATTATTGTAAACAAATCCCATTAAAAGACCAAAACCAACCACGTGTTGGTCCATCTGTAAATACTTTCTGACTCCCCTTAATCTCTCTGTGGTGCTTCAAGCCGGTTGGTTCCATGGCAAAGACACAAATCCTTAAAATGGGCCACCGCGGTTCGTGCTAAATGCTAACACCAACATGCTCCAATTGGCAATGCTAGCATGCTGCTGTTAAGCAGCTACAATGTTCAACATGCTTACCTTCTTTGTTTAGCATGTTAGCATGCTAACATTTCGTCAGTCGTATACGGTGACCATTTTCCCAGATTTGTCGGGATTGTCCCAGTTTCAAACTGGGTGTCTTGAGTCTGGACACATTTCTGTAATACTATATTTGTTTTCAGTGCTTCCATAAAAGTTTATCCATCATTGTTACCAAGCCCATCTGAATTCACGATTGCTTTGTCTGTATTTTAGCTGTCTTGTAGAAGAAAAAAGAGCTCCAGCATGGTGGAAATATAAAAGATCATATGAAGACGGCCAAACATATGCGCTGAAATACTTGTCCCCCATCCTAAATACAGTCACCGGAGCACAGCGGAGGAGAATGTCATCAGTTTATATGTTCAACTTCTTGTTGGCACCAAAGGAACTAAACCAGTAGATGACGGAAGTTATAAGGTTTTATCATCTGGGCACCATACCTGCACTCCAATTCATGGCAATCCATCCAATAGACCAAAGTTGTGGAACAACGAACAGACTGGCATTGCAATCTTACGGAAGATGCTACTACCAAATCTATATATTTGTTAATCAAAAGCACAATGAGGTATTTTACAGCCTTTGTACAACTTTTGGAAACAGTAACTCTATTATGGCCTGTAGGACTTTCAACTTTGAGCTGAATGACTCACGATACAAGTGGCTTCTGAAGCTTTTGTCCACCAAGTGTTTTACCAAGAAATCTTTTGTTGGATTTATACAACGATTTGGCCGCTGTTTGTAAGTAGCAGGACGGACTGGAGCCACAGAACCAGATCTGTCTGCCTTGCTTTCCATGATTGAGTTTTAATTACACATCTCGAAATTGGCCCGTGCTACTTTTATCATGCTTCTATGAAGCAAACAATCATGATTCACCACACAAGCTTTGAGCGTGGAGCACCAATGCTTCAAATGTGGAGTTTGTGTTTGCTCGTTAATAAAACTCCTGCAGCACAATCTACGTTCATACCCTCTATCCATAAGGTCAGTTCATTCCAATCATTCATAGTTTTGCTAAATATTGCTAAACACAGTTTCAGTTTCAATGATACATGAAAAGCCTCAAGCAGACTTGTGTTTTACCTTTTTATCAGCTGATGTACATTCTGCTGTTGTACTTGAGTTGACTCCCCATTTGGCTTGAATCCAATGGAGCGTTACCGTTGTCAGCGCAAACATATGTTCAAACAGAGTGAACAGTGTGTACAATGACTCTAGGGTGACACAGGTTTAATAGGTGCTGTCAACAGAGAGGCTTGTAATGACTAAAATATCAGACAGAGTGAACAATTATGGCAGTTTGTCATTTGACAAAAGATTACAGTGGTGTTCTATGTAATTATTTGTATTATTCTAGTGTATTCTTTTTCTAATATAATTAAAATAAACAGAAAGGGCATGAACATAAGAGATCTTTTGAACAGCAGAACATTTGGTTACCATTAATTAAAGAGACAACGGAGACTGAAGGTGATTATCCCCTCAGTCATTCCAAACTCTTCAGCTAGACTTCAGTCAAACTCACACACGTTTATAGTTGTAGCGGAGATACCAAAGTTTTCGGAGATATCAAATATATCGAGCTGATTTCAAGGGAAATGTCTCTAAAGTGATGCACGAGACATCTAGTATATTTGTATTTGATGTAAATGAAATGCAAATGGTGATGATGCAGACACACAAGAGTCTTTGGTTTGAATATTTCACTCAGCGGAAACGTCAAAACTGTCAGTCAGTGAGCGAAACCTGTGGAGGAAAAGTGTAAAACATTCAAAAAGAAATCCAGTGTGTGGTGTTTGGCCTCTGCTGTCGAGCTGTAACGCGTGTTTTTAGCAGAGTTGCTTCTCTGAACTACTGTGGCACGTCTGGTGGATTCACAAGTATTGTCTAGAGTTGAAGGTGTGTGTGTGTGTGTGTGTGTGTAGGTTAGAAGTGATGCCTCCAGATGCAGCCACCTTCATCGGACAACGTTCTTCATCAGGTTCCATATTAGCATTGTGTTTGGATCCGACATATTGACAAATATCTGCCACCGTCTTGTCGGTGAACTCTCCTTAACGTGAGTAAAGTCTGTGAGTCTGCTGCCCGGAGACAACACTTACAGTTTAGAGTTGTATCGTCCGTCGAAAATAAAGAAGCAAAACGACGGTGGGCAAATGATGTAATGGGAGTGACACGGTGTCACAGCAGTGCAGATTAACAGCTACAGACTCTTGCTCCAGGCATGTTCCTTCTTCTCAGTTTCATAAAGAGGCTCCTTCA